AAGACTGGAGACTAAATTAGGAAAAGTACATTGGAGTCAGGTACAGCCAAGCATGTAATCAGAATTATTCATCAATATACCTGAGCAAAAGGGGAAGCTGCATTTTCTAATTCTGTGTTCTAATCTAAATTTCATAGTTATGAAAAGGAAAAAATGAAGGATAATTTTGATTCTGGTACTTTCACTACAATAATTGTGACAATTAGTTATATTTTTCAAAATTGATATTCATTGCTTTTTTATAGAATAGAATTTTGAAACAAATGGCATCTTTATGGGAGATGGTCCAAGAAAATCAAGAGAATTTAGAGGCAGAGAACAGAATGAGAACCCGTTGGACGGTGAGTATGAGAACCATGCTTGAAATCAGCCTAATGCAGGTATTTTCAAAATTCGCCATTCAAGATTTGAATTTAAGGCCTAGGATAGGATACTTGGAATATGTGTCCTGCTCACCTGTAATTTTGAGTGTATAATATGTCCCTGTTCTTGGAAAGAATGGTCTGCCTCTGGCAGAAGCGTCTGGGACTAATGAGTGAATTGCTTATGGTTCTGCACACTGCGTTAGACTTTATGACTACACCATGAATTCTAATTACTACATGCAGAGTTTCATAACTTTGTGAACATATGAATGATCAATCTTTTTTCCAGGTACCTCTGAACCTGTAATATAGGTGTAAATGCATCTTAGGGTTGGATTGCCTGTGTAATTAATAAGGAAGAAATAAATGAAAGCAAGGCATTTATATTTTCTGAGGTGTGAAGACAGTCAATCAGAGTATATGCATCAGAGTTAAAAAGTCATTTGTGGAATTTAAGCATAGGAGGATGGATTGAGGGAGGACAAAATACTTTGCAAATATGATTGAGAATGTCTTTTTTTCTTCAGGACTACTTGACTTTTCGGGAAGAAATGATCAGGACAGTGTATAGAAAGCTACATCCACTCCTCTGTGAAGAGGAAGAGAAACACATTGAGTCTATGAGAAATGAAGGTCGATGTGTTTTAGAGAAACTCAGGACAAGTGAAGCCATGATGGTCCAAAAGAGAAAAGAACTAAGAGAAATGTATCAGGAGCTGATGGCAAAGTCCCAGGAGCCATATGTGGTCCTATTGCAGGTGAGCATGGAGGAGTGCAGGAAGAGGCTTTATTGTCTTAGTCCCACAGTGGTCATTGTTTTACTAAGATAGCTTTCATTATATCCTGCATTTTTTCTGTTTTTTAATTTTTTTTTAATTTACTTATTTTATTTTACAATACCATTCAGTTCTGCATATCAGCCATGGGTTCCCCTATTCTCACCCCTCCCACCTCCTCCCCTTACCCCCAGCCCACCCCCCATTCCCACCTCCTCCAGGGCAAAGCCTCCCCTGAGGACTGCGATTAACCTGGTAGACTCAGTCC